TTACCAATATTTTGTTCAAATATTTGATGAAACCACAAATCTGGAACATTACTGATGCATTTTGGTTCATCTGCGAATGAAACGAAACAACTGTTCTACTTACAGTTCGTTGTCGTTGTTCGTCGCTATTTATCGTTATGTGTTGCTATTTATCGGTGTTATTTATTGCTACGAGGCGGTGAGGTGACTGAGACTTTCAGTGTGCCGTTATTAATGAAGATAACGATTTCAATTCGTCGATATTTGTCGCGCAACAAAAGATGCAAATGTCGCGCAAGCTGCTCATGCATCTAAAGCACATGATTACTCAACACACCTCGATTGCAGAAACATGAACTAGATGGATGTCTAATCCTTGCTATTATCACTATTCTTATTTCTGGTATTAATTCACTGATAAAATTGTCAACAAGATGCAACGTAGCTATTGCCGTGTTTCTTCTCCATTCCGAACTGATTATTTGTTTTGACTCATATTTTCAAGTGTGCTTTTACGATTCGCGGTGACAGTTTGTTCCTCGCTTGTGCCACTTAGCACTTTTCTGGAATTATATTTGTTGATTGCGAATGTACAATCAACTCATCGCGAATTTTAGTTCTTACACTGTCTTTCAAGCGTCTCGCTTATAGAGTATCCAATTTTATTGCTGCTGCATTCATGAAACTGGGAAAAAACATTGTAGTCTTGCGCGTAGTTAGATGTATTGAGTTGTGTTCGAATGAAGTTAGATGTTGTGACATTATTCTCACGTAAAATTTTCGAGAGAGGAAATTTCTTTGAATTTCACATCGAAGATTTTATCATGTTTGTGATGGTTGTGGCTGAAGATTGTGATGTGATTGTGCACATTTGTTGTATGAATCAAACTGCCATGAATCAATTCTTGAACAGCTGCCACACGAGAATGAATGTACAGTAGAAAAGTGCGGATCTTTGTTGAGATAAAATAGCTGTTCAGTGGAGTATATTTCTAAGCTTAAATTTTTTTGTTTTTCATCTAGGCATTCACTCATTTGGATGGAGTTCATTGAAAACTTGCTTTATGCTAAGAATTATTTAATGTCAACAGAAGGTTATCATTTCAGACAGATGTGCACTGCGAATAAATAACGAAGGACACAACATTGACAATAGTTTACCGGGCCATTGAAATAACTGATTGCCTTTCAACATGGATTAATTAGAAGATAGATTATGTGAAAGCAATAGTTGTTGATAGGATAGTTCAGATATCATTAGTGATTGATGAAGCATTCGCATGGTAATTGATCTGTGATGGCATTGTCCTTATGATGCTCTGCTAGATTCAGTGCGGTAATGCTTTAACCATGGCGGTAACCTCCTCAGCCAAACAACTAAATACCATCTTGTATTGTTCACCTGTCTCTACCATACCACTACGTTGATCACGCAAATGTTCCAACGATCCAGCAATATTCAGCTCTTTAACACCTGAATTATACTTTTCTATTATTCCATTTTCTTTAATAAACAGTTTACAGTTCACAAATTCATAATCAATTTAGAATGATGTTTTGATCATGAATGGTTAGATTTATCGTGAATGCAATTGACCTTTAGTGATTCTATTCAGGACTATATCTAAGAGACAGTATGCCCCAGTACGTCCAATACCATCACTGCAGTGCACTACGATAGGTGCTGCATGACCTCGATACGACTTGTTCACTTTTCTGAAATTTATTTTTTAGTTGTTGGTAATGGGAGTGAATATGATGATTGAATAACCAGCACTTCATCGTGAGCATTCATGCAGAAAAGAGTGTCACAACAAGTCAAAACCAAGAAATGTGGTTGTGCTTCGAATCAAATGATTGATCATGATAATAATGGTGTTGTACAAGAGATAAAGGTGTAAAGGCGATAAGCGTAATGCTACACATCCGAGGATTGTGCTCGTTAAAAAGTGATGAGGATGATCGAGGAGGGAATAACAGGACTTATGATGGGAGGACACTTGAGTGATAATATTCGAATGGGATTCGTAGGCACGTCGCGTCCATCACTTTTGTGACTATGCAATTGATTCGTATAACAAAATTGCTCATCCACAAAAATGATGAGCGAAATGTGCGACTCGATCCATTGTTGATGGTCATGTCATGGTCATTACTCCGACTCAGCACAACCATCGCATCATTATAGTGTGCTATTTCATAGGGGTTACATAGGGGTTGTTTGCCGGTGCTTCATCAAAATAAATCATTTATTAATCGGTTATGCACGCACACGCAAACACACAGAAACACACCCATGCTAATATCAAAACTCAACCCTTATCTAAAGTGCACATCATAAAATCATCACGCATAACAGTAGCAATGCAAGTGAATAATGCCCTTTGGGTATAATGAAAAAAAGGATCAATGTTGCTTATTTTATGTTCTTCTGCTCGAATTTTGCGTTTATTTTATTTGATTCTCAATAACAAGCAGTATGTCATTTACTAAGCCTTTATTCATCCACATTTCAAACAATTCCACAAAATCGTCCATTTCATTTCAGTCACAAATGCATTAAGTTCGTAGTGTGCTTGAGGTGATAACTCAGCAATTTAAATTCAAAACCATTCAACCTTGATACTTTTAAACGATAACCTTCACACTGATATGGAATTCTGATTTCCGAGAAGAAAAATATTGATTGAAAAGTGCTGCATTGAATGGATGCGAAAGGTCGTGATAAGAAGTGGTACCTTCTGAACTCGAGAAGTGCTTTCGTGGTCGATGGAACTGATTGATACGGCCATGTGACATAGTGAAATTGTGTAATTGTACGAGTTTCATTTGTCTTCACATTCTTCAGATAGAATGAACGTACGAGATAGTCTTCACTCCAAATGTGCTCTGATACGAGATGAATCTAGAATGCGGTGGTTCGTTGAGGATGCCTTTCATTTGCGCATGATCAATTTAGAAAAGGAAATAAGAACAAAGTGAAAAGACGAATGCACCTCGAAAGCACCGTGTAACTGTGAACCACTTTCCGGCCAATAACGGGTGCACCGTTGCTCTCTATCATCATCGTCGTTCGCCAAATTCACGATCAAAACTACGCCCTGAATTTGAAATTAACCGCTCAGCTTTGGCTTGACTAAATGCTCAACTTCTTTCTAAGTTGTATTCTGAACTTTTTGTTCGAAATTGTATCAATTCAGAATAAACTTTCAAGCAGCACCAACGGTGTTCATGATGTGATCGCTAGGATGGAGATAAGAACGTATTAATAAGGATACACAGAACCTGTTCCCAAATCATTTGCCAAAAGTCAGCGATGGTGCTCGGAAGGGGCGATTGTGTAGCGATATAAGCAGGTTGTCTCGGGTCAGAGTCATGTATCGCACATGCATTTATGTAAGTGGAAGAGGTGACATCTGACAGAGACGATTGAATTCTTATTAGGGTATCATCATCTGAAGGTGGTTGCATTCTGTAGTCAGATTTATACTTGAAAGGAGTTTGCGAATTGTAATTGCATCGAATTTAATGACTGGAGATAGACAGAGATATGATAGACATGAAGTTGAACTCAGTGATGAAGGGTTGAGCAAATAATGTTTTGATACGTTCATCGAGTTGAACATAATTGAATGTTTGCAGCCACTTCAAAAATTTCACTTGAAGCCGTACTTTTAAAGCATTCAACTTATTGGGCTTCTGGTAAGCAATGATTTCTTCTCTATATAATCATGAATGTTCGAAAAAAAAAGCTTTTATTCACATGGAAGAAAATTCTGATTTCTGTTTTTGTCTTTGTTCGTTTCTTGTTCAGCGATTGAACTGACTCCATTTGAGTTCACATATCGGCTTAATGTAGACCACTGCTCCTCAATTTTTGATGGATTTTGAAGATACTCCTGCAGGAAATTCTGAAAAAAAAGCGAGCATACGCAGCGAATCATCGGTTCAGTGAAATCATAACCGAGCGAGGTTTGCTTTAAGGAGGCAAAGATCCTCGNAAAAGTGCCGTGCCATCTATATCGAAACGTCAATAAACTACCAGTATTTTGCTTGATGTTCTCGTATTTATTAACTAATAATTTATTATGCATATAATTTCAAGATGCTCGATTCGTGGAATGTTATGAAATATAATCGTGTCTGATTACGGTAAATCACCGAGTACACGATATGTGCCAGAAATTGCTTGTGTACGTGTCTGCGCGTGTGATGTAGTCAAGTCATATTTCTCATTGCGATTTATCTATTCATTGAATTCAATTGAGTTCGTCTACTCCATGAATTATTTGATGTTGGAAGGAAGGATGTGATATAATTATGAGTGATCTAATTGACCGACGAATGAACGTACAAGAATAACATGACCGGTTGAAATATCCATATTTGAATGCGATATTGGCTCTTCGCTCCTGAAATTCATCAACGATATTGTGAATTCATGCCAGAAACAGAATGCTTCTTCCATTGTTCATCTCCATTTGAATCACGTTACAAAATTAAATTCTCATGCTTGCGATCTGCTAAATTCTTACTTCCGATGGAATCTATCGATAAATGATCGCAACAACGTTGAAGGTCGTAAATGCAAAGTTTTCTTTAATAAAGCTATATGACACTATGTTGATACAATGATTCGATGGCAGATCGCTTGACAAATTGTTATCGGTGGTAGTTGATAAGCAATGGAAGAGATCTAAGAACAATTCATGAGAGTGCACGTCACCATCTATCAAATTCGTTACTGCTTTAAATGGATAAGGAACCAACCACGATGAAGTACTGGAGTGTTTTGAGTTGGTACCACTCGATTGCTCTTGAGTACTCATTCGGTGACGACATAGATCCTGAAGAATGCATCAAGAAGTATTATTTCAATACTGATAATAATAATGTTGATTATGCAACAAATAGTGATATTTCAAAGCTTTATATCAACTGAATCCTGCCGTTATGAAGAAAAACAGCATTATTCGGTATTCCGAGAGAACGTTTATTCGTTCAACAAAGCAAAAACACGGCTCCGTTTCCCTTTTATATAGTGCTGATAGATTGGATGTATTTCATTAAAGCGGTGAATGTTTTTAGTGTATAAAGTCGAACGGATATACGTGAGTAGAATCGATATTTACGAAATGAGCAAATAAATGAATAAAACGCTCAATGAAATTTATTCAAGAAATTTTCGTTGCATTTCGTCAAGTAAACTTTCATAATGAACATTTAACCGTTGCTGTCGTAATGATAATTGAAGAATTATGACTGAGAGATAGGAATTATTGCGAGAGAGGTGTTATGCTATTGGGATTGGAGGTTGATGTGCATTTGTTGAGTTAAATGAAAAGCTAAAGTTGATGAAGAATGTAGCACATTTTATCGAACTTATAATGAAGATGATGCTTTCACCGTTTTCATTGAATATGAATGAGTGATGACTGATTGCGAGTGTGCAGATTTGAAATGAGTATTGAATTTGTTATAATGAATTCGGAAAGGAAGGAAGGAAGAGACTCTGATAGCTTAGGGACTGCGATGCGATGATATATTTGTGGACAAGATAGGATAGGACGGAACAAGATGGGTGACTGAGCGCTGAAGGAGAGGAGGGATAGGAGAATAATGCATGAAAGGATATGGTATATATATATGTAGTTGTCGATTGAACTCAGTAATGAATTGAAGCTTAAAAAGAGCACATATTAAGGAAAGCCGAGAGGTGATAGTATGTAAATGGATGTCACCATAGACGCAAGACATTGATATCGCTCTCACCGCTTCGCTTCATTTCGTTGCGTTTCCAACTCCCTCGTCGATTCAGCAGAATGCTCTTTTGGTGTTCATTAATTTTAATTTGATGCTACTAACACAACGAGAATTCGAACCGATTACATACATCTTACAATCATATTGCCATTGCATATTGTATGTGCATATCACTGCCCGTGTTCATACGGAACAATGTGTGTCCATATTCGCTCAGCATGTTCATATAAAAAAATTACTTGCAATCTAAATTTTCCGTAAACACTTCACTCATTCGAACGCATGAAGCTAGTTCTTCATTCATTTTCTCAATATCACGACATTTTCTCAATATTCCAATAAATTATATAATGAAATTCTCATTTAATTTAGCGTTGCATCCAATTTATGACAGCATCTTTAATGTCCTGACAAACAAAGTGCAAGTGCCATATTGCATTCAGCAAAAGAACATATTTTATTCACCTATTACCATTTTCGAAAAATAGCAACCATCCAAGACTGGATAGTTTTAAGGAATAGGTAACGAGCACTCAAGGCTAGCACTAGCAATACTCAACCGTAGGTTCCAATACTGCTCATGAAGGGACGTTTTGTTCAGATTTGTCCAATAGATGGATCAGTTGAAACTACGCACGTACTGCTCTATTTGATTGCAGTCAACACTTTTCCTTCTTATCAAATAATTAATTCGCACCCTTCTGCCTTATCACCAAAAATCAGGTATGCCTGATTCATCCAGCCGTATTAATTCTGTTTACTTCACCCTTGGTCTGCAATCTGAATTATCTCTCTATCTGACAGATCATCTATCCACCAGTTTACCATATAGTATTCATCCACAAATGCGTCGTCAATTCCAACTTCCTATCGTGCTTTTAACGCGTCTTACTTTTGATTTTTCAACATTCATTCACTCATTTCGAAAAATGCTCCGAACAGCGATGATCGTCGCTGTCATAAACAAAGCTTGCTTTTTATGTAGCCTTACTTCAGTCGGTCACACTCGCAGCAGCTGCAACATGGAGGTTTCCTTATTTTACAGTTCCAATGACTGTAATATTGACGGATGCATTTTGGAGCAGCAACTGTCCCGATGTGAAACTAAGCATATACTGTGTACATCTCTTGTGATAGCTGCTTGATGTAAGATTAACATACTCGCAGTATTTGTAAAGTTTTTCGCTCATTCAACTAGATGCTGCACTGTTTGCAAAATGAGAATAATTCTGAATGTGTTCACACCCCAAATGTTGAGCCACTTGAGCAGCAGAAAATGCGTAATTCAACAAGATCTCCAATCTGATCAAGTAAGTCATCAATCTGATTGTACCAGTAAGCCTGCTTGTACATTATGGAAGAGATCATTTATCAGTAGATTGTGCTCATATCAACATTCATCGCAAACACTGCTCTGTAGCTTTGCGCATTGATGTTGAATGTATGAACCTTCCTATCAATATTATTTCCTGTTCAAACAGTCGTTCCATTGCAGCTAACATAGGCAGGTAAATAATGTGTCATTGTTTAAAATGACCAATGAGGATGCAGTACAATTTATACAAATGTCGTTGCTATGGCACGCTTTCATGGTAATTTTATCCTCGCTGATATATTCAGACTACTGTAAGTTTTAAATCCATTCTAGCAGCACTTCCATTGGAAAACGCGTCAACATTGGAATAAATCTATTTTTGGGAAGTTAAATTACTTGAGCAAGCTTTGACCTTCAATGAACAAATTTCTGATATTTGCTAAGTGAATAATTTCTATCATGAGCAGCATGTGTTACATACAGATAAAGGTCTTCGGATAATCCCTTTTTCGGGGATAATCTTATTCGTTGCATTATCACAATCACAGTTCATACGATAATGTTACTGATGACGAAAAAACCGATAATGATGTTATTGGTAAGGCTCACAACGATAATTTGTATGGCAGCACACCATACAGTTCCGAGCAAAGTGAATCTGGCGAGACCGAATGATGTGCCGAACTTGAGCCAGCAGGTTATGTTTTTGCTTGCATCTGATATGGATTGGCGCTGAAAGTGATAAGTGCACACGAACCTGATAAAGTGCAGAGGGTTTACCCTCGATTTGCTCGGCGACATCCGTGATCGCAGTGCAACGGCGATTGCGTTGACGTTGTTTGATTTGATGAACGGCGAGTACGGTAAACAGCGCCGTGATTGTGAAAGCACATATCACCAGAATTGGCATAAACAATCCATCACGACCCTCACTCTCCACCGGTACCACTCCCTTAAAGGTATCACATATCATTATATCATAACCACTTCACTTGTCCTACTTTCTTCACTAGATTCGCTGTTATCCTGCAATCGAAGCAACGTAGAAATGGTGAATCACTTCTGCGGAACATTAGTTATCTGAGGACACTGGGACTTTTCGATGATTTGTAGGAGGTGAAAAAGATTATCTTTTATGGGGAATCAGAAAGATGAAAGAGTGGATGAAAGTATTATCGATCAAACGATTCTTTCATTGAGATGATTGGATGAATATTTTCAGCAGACAACAGACAAGGTTCATTTGAAGGAGTAACATAGGTGAAATAAGTCAGCTTGTTTCATCGTTCACTTTGAATTAAGTAAATTCTGAACAATGCAAAGCATATGTACATGCTGTACGGATGTATGTGTGTTGTTGATAAGGCGTTAATATTAATTAATATCGCTGACATATCGCATCGCCTACTCATATCATATTACCGAGCAAGCATTCATCCGTTTCATTCATCCCATTTCATAATTTGACCACATTCACAAATTAACACACCCGTTACATTCATTATCAATTCACAGACTATGCACATTTGTCCTGTTCCTGTTTCATATGAGGATATTATAGAATCAAATTCACCTAGCATACTCATCATATCGCTTTTACACATACAACATTATACACATAAACTTGAAACTTATGTAAATATTCTACGCTTGTAAATATTCTTTAGTGTACCACAGTGCTAACTGAATCAGTGGGTGTGCTTAGCGCTTTGTGAAGACAGATGGTATGCTGTACTAATACTTGAAATGCGTGTGAAAGAAAGATACCAAGGAGAGAAGAAGATGATATTTGTAATGTTGGTGATAAACAGTAATGAGCTATGATCACTGGTCAAAGGAAGGAATAAATATTATACGTACAATAATATGCGAATGCCTGTAGTAAGATGCTCATGTATATATACAGTATGGGCGTTCAGTCGATGTTAATGACCAATCGGCAATCAACTCTCGATGTTAGCTAGTGCTGCAAGCCATGGTGGTTCATAATGAGTCTTTAGATATATTCTTATGCGCATTGTTTCTTATCAATACCGTAATTCGATTAACATAAAAGCAATGTTGATATATTTACAGTGGTTAACAATAGGGCATTATCCAAAGATTTGATGGGTCAGAGGGAAGACTATAAGAAGATTATTTCTGGTTGTCGTCGAAAGGAGGAAATACAAAATAAAAGCGGATTCTTGAATGATTTGATCAAAACAGGGAGTCTTAATTCAACGAGACGATGAGATAATTTCATTGAGGTGCTAATAATGGAATTAATCGTGAAAGTCCCATAGCTCAGCGGATAAACTGCTGTTTATGAGCGTGACATGCGCACTGACAAGAGACGACTGGAAATGATACGTTGCATTCAAAATGAGCGAATAAATGGTTAATAAAGTGTATTATTTGATATGAAAGCAATTAGCAGTCAGCATTCTACTTTTCAATCAACACTCATATTAAATATTCAGCGTATTCAATACTTCATTAAATTAATTCTTGAAAGTAAATATCATCATAAAATAACCACCAATCATTTCAGCTCATGCTTTCATTCAGATATGTCTCTTGGGTCTATCAATCACTTGAACGTCTAGTCATCTGATGAAATGAGCAAAAGGTGAATTTCAATTCTCAATTTGCAAAAATTTAAGTTCAAAAGTGAGATATGTACTCTACAGTTGGAGCTAGTATAGCACGATGATTGCTCAATAGTTAGCTCTAGCGATCATTCCATGCCAGTAATACACACTAACTAATTGCAACACCTTTACATTTAAAACATCCTAATAATAGATCTCAGGTGAGTGATGCTCTACAGTATCCATAATTCATTCAGTGCTCATTCATTGCGATCATATCAAACAAAGAATTTGAGTTTAGAATGAATGACATTCCGCTCAAGAGTAATGATTATAATTAGGTGAATGTAATTTGCTTGCACACTGATAGTGTATGAACAATGTTCAGAAGGGTGACATTCGGGCGTTACTCAATACTCTGCATGTTATAGTAGCAGATTAATGGCAAAACCTTCAATGTGCTCATTCAATTGTGACATTATAACATTAACGACCTTTCTCATTTACGCAATCATTAAACTTTTGATTCAAAAAATTTTCACGGCATTCTTCTGCTGAGTTAGTTGTTGTCATAGTTCGCAATTCAATGGAACCCTTCAGACATGATAAAAAACCAATTAATCACCGAAATGGTTTGCAACTGAAGTTTCATTTTGTGCTTTCAGCAGTAACGAAGGAACAGATGTGACGGAAAAGAGATTAGATAATAGCGATGCAATATTCCATAGAAAATTGTTGAGTTCATTCGACAAATGGAAAGAGACGAAATTAAATCAAGTTCTAGCTGGAAAATTCGCTGTTATAAAAAAATCAAAACTGAAGTACTGCTGGAAATTGGATAAATGAATAAATATGACCTAGAGATAGGGCGAAATATGGCGCATATGGACGGTTTTATTAACATATAATGATTGGAATAGGTATATCGATAATAGACAGACGTACTAAAATCTGCTATTAAATGCGGTATTAATTGAGGATCATGCTTAACAATACTCAATTTGTCATGATGTAGTTGCACGATACTGGGCCTTTCATGACTTTACTTCATTTAATTTCATTTCCATAGTAACTGTGTTCAACAGATTGCGTGATCCCACTCAACAAATAATAATAATGGCTCTATAATCCCAACTCGTAATTATACTTCTTCTCGAAACTTAATCGCCTTCATAATTTGAATTGCTAATACCTTATCCATCATTGCAACCGCATTCAATTTGTTGTTATTCGTTTCATGGAATAGCACTTTGTCAATACCAACGAAATGAACATTGGCACCAGTTGGTTCGACAAGAACTCATCTCTCATTATCGTCTAATATCTCTTAATCATGCCTAACTAACAGAACGTTTTATGACATTCAAGTAATACGTTTCGAATCCGAACTGAACAGGGTTTTGCTATTTTGTTTTATATCGATTTTAATGATCTTTTGATATTGAAAGGTAGTGATACGAAACAAAGAGGACCTGTTATGACTGAATTGGTCATAATTATTCATAAGGAACTGTTGCAGAATTGTTAAAGAACTATGTTCAAAATTCCACGCAATAATAGTATTATGGAGGTGAAATCACCAGAGTTTCAAGTTTTGTTTCTGGAAAAACAAAGCTGATCACAATGCAAGTTAGAGTGATAAAAATGTTAAAGAGACTGATTTCGTTATGATGGTCGTTTTGGAGCTAACGAAATAATGTTCGATATCGTATCGGTAATACACAGCAAAATCGAATTGTCAATGTCGTCGAGCCTGAGTCGGACTACGACNACTACGACTTAGCTCGTACCTTGTCAACGGTTATAATTGAAAGCTTTCAGTGAAAAGGTATCAAATGATCGATTAGAGTTAGCGGCAGCAAAGATGAGAGGTCATGAAAGTGGTATGGAACCGGACATGAATAGAATCAAATGGAAATCACCTCTCCACTTCCAATTCCAGTTTCATCAACGCGAACACCTGACAACGTTTCGATATCCTTTCGTCTTTTATCTTAAGTTATGCTTGATATTGAACTTATTCAAATGATTTGTTGTTCGCAGTTTAG